GACTTGGTCCTTATTTTGACCGCACATTCACCTCATGAATCGGCCTGGTCGCCCACTTGCGAATCCATGGCACTGTGAACGGTGCACCAGTGCCAGAGCCCCGACATACACCCATCACGAAAGTCTATAAGGTAATACAAGCGCATGTCACCGTCAATGCTCTCACTCCGCTGTGGAGCACACGGTCGACGTCATCGAAATCGACGATCGAACTGTAATACCCTATAAAAAGAGCCGGAGGAGTAACTGCCTTAAGTGAGAGATAGCGGCACAATAAGCCGGGCTTTGTGTCTGGCGTATATTAAGATGGCGGGCGTCAGCGGCAGTGTTGGCGAGACATGAAAGGTTAGGGCGCCGTGAGCGACTGCGTGCCTTACAAAACATCAGCGCCGGTTTAGTAGTAGGGCGAATAAAGTCATCAAACAAGTTGTAGCGAGTGAGGTCGCGCTACCCGAATATCCATCCAAACGTATATATGAAGGCTGGAAAACGAAGTTCTTTACGAATGCATATACTTCTGACAACAGTCAACTTTGTAAGAGTACTTTTCGTTTGTGCTGCTGATCAACCTGATGGCAGGGAGAAGTTACTTAGTACTGCAATGGCCAATAGAACTTGCAGGAAGAGTTACTGATTGCAGTCGCTTTTATTGGCTCCATGTCTAAGTTTAAAATGTGATATCAAAGTGACAGGGCACTATGCTTGCGGTTTGCCTTGATATCCGGGTCCACTTTCGTCGATTAGAATTCATGCCATTTTTAAACAAAAATTGAGGTAGGACATGATATCTGTAGTATTTGGATATTCTTCCTATGCTTCTAACAAAGCGTAAGCATGCATTGCTGCAGATAGGGATGGTTGATTAGAAGCAGACGCAGATATTCGGAGATGTACTAGCGCCTGTCAAAAACAAAATCTATTTTGCAGCTTTAACAGCGATGTGAGACAGCTTTCATTTCAAGAGAAGGAATACGGCCAGAAGATGGAGACCGAAATGGCCATTTTCAACTTATTTTTTAGCCAGTTAACATGTGCCTCTGCCGTCAGATGAGTATGGGAACACTCACAAGAGGGCATCAGTAGTGTCGTCTGCAGTCGAAAAGGCATGGGCCCACGGTTTAAGTGGCAGTGTTTGATTCAGACATTAAATTACGAAACAGGTTTAGATCCAAAACTCAGATCTCTTTTCACAGGAACTGGAATGTGGCTTACGGACACCAGCAAAAGGAACATTAAAATGAAGTGTCTTTCTGCTTACCTGAGCAGCAGCCTCACTGGAAGCGTCCGTCGTCCCTACATCGCCTGTGAGAGGTGCCATTGGTCCAGAAGTTGGGATATGGGGTCGCATCGTCCCTTCTTCATTTACACCAGGTCGGACTGAACTCAAGACGTCACCAACGTGGCTTCCACTGGCGCTGGTCATGTCACTATAGGAGAGCGGACTTCCTGGCTCGACATCCGAAGTCCTTAGGCCAGAGCGAAGGTCCTTGGCGAAAGTGACAATGGTCAGTGGCGAGTTCAAGAAAAAAGGTTAGCATGCCGTATGAAATCAAGTTATTACCAACATTGATTTTCGTCGAGGAAACATTAGTGCAACTCGTTGTCTGTGTCAATTGCTTCGCACGTCGTCTGATATGTGCCAAATTCGCGGGCCTTACCCTCGCGTTTTCTGTGGTGGACTGATTCTATTTGGCTTTTAAGTGCCTTGACCATCTGTCCGTCTGGTCTAGTTTTTTATTTAATTCTTGAAGTGTACACGCGGCCATGTCGCTGTCGCGACACATCGTCGCTGCTGCCTGTTGATCTAGGGGTCGCAGCTTTCTAAGCCCCATTCTAGAGGGTCAGGTTGGGTTTAATTCTAATACTCGTACAGATACTGACGACAAACACCAACATACCCGGAAATATAGAATTCACGGAAAATCTCAACTATTTTCCATCCCACTTAAATCCTCGCCGAGTACCTTTTACTACCCAGTTGTGACTTCAATTCGTCAAGGCATTCTTGTACCATTGGAGTCGGTCTAGCCAAGCGAGCAGCTGAAGAATGCAGCACCCTTCACCCATGAACAATACCAGGAACGTCAAGTGTGACGAAAGACCACTTTAGGGGCGTGGTAGTTTAAGATACACTTAATGACATTAAGGCCCTTCCCACAAGCAATAAAAAAGGATGGCAAGGGATGAGATATCCGTAAAGGCACAATTATCATCCGTGGTCCTGGCTCCTGTGTTGGTGAAGGCAGTGCTCCGACCTAAAGCCAAAGTAAAGTCCCAGGAGAGAACCACGACTCTTACATTCACTCCCAACCCATCGAGGATCTACCTGCAACACAAACTTTTGGAATTCGACTTGGAAAGAGTCAGCTATGCTTTGTGTTTGGCAAACACCCTTGGCGCCTAGCCCTGGCTGAATATGCAACAACCAAGCCATACGACCTCAGTACATGTTTGGAAGGTTTTGAAGTGAGTTTATGTGGAGGATTAATATCCCAAATCATTATATGATCGACGTACACCACACCAGACTTGCATATGAAAAAGACAGACCATAAACAAGAAAACAATAAAATTCTGTACGTCCGCAGACTTAAAGTTAGAAACTTATACGGCGAGATCGCTGCCATCCGGCATCTAATCTAAGAGGAATATCTTACGGCGTCTGACTGGTCCTCTGTAACAGCTGGTCGACGAGACGATCGTGTCTCACTACTACCGACTTCACTCATCTCGGCATCTCTTTGTGGTGTTGGCTGGGTAAACAAATCTGTCGACGTTGGCTCGGCTTGTGCGGCCGTCGCCCGACGCCTGGTAGAACGACGCGAACTTGTGCTGGACATCGCCCAAAGCCTTTGAGAATGGCGGGTACGCAGCAGACCGGGGTAGGTCAGTGCAAAAAAACAAACCTCATTGCATGTGTCGGGACTTATAGTCCGCAAATTAATAATGTCGCCCGCATTACAAAGGCCTACTGCGTAAAAAGGAGACGTTGTGGAAGGTTTGATGGACTGATTTCCAGACTGAGTGACTTAAGCCATCCTGATAGTTTGACCATCGATTTTGATTATGTCCACCGTGTGCCCCACAGCAGCAGCGGTGGGAGCAGGGACGGTGACTTACGCAGGGGTTTATAGTGCCAGTAGACTTGCGTAGCATCTACCTACACTCTCTCCTCCTCCCCCGCCTGAGTCCGGTGTCAAGACAGAGTCAAGAAGACCGGAGACGAGGGAGGCCGCAGGTGGATGGCTCGGACGGATCCTCACCTTGGCGTTCCACCACACCCCCTGGTCCACACAACAAATAACCAGGATTTCAACCAACACAACAAAGATTTAAAGGCTGGCACGGCCGAAGCTGCACCTAGGCGTGCCGCCGACGCCTGGCTCGGATCCCACACTGTGATGGGAGTGCCATAAAGGCCACATTAAGAAGGAGCCATTGCAGACTGACTCTCAGACCTTCAGTAAAGGAGGTCCAAGGTACCCCGTCAGTTGGCAACCTTCCAAACCACGGCTTTTAGCGCACCGTGATAGCTTCAAGCGCGTCAGATTGTTTATAGTGAGGAGAAAGTGCGCTGAGTCGTCGACCCCACTCACCCTTCACACTCCCACACCCCAGCCACTGTCCGAGCCGGTCAGCAGACTGGAGTGGGAAATGGGTGCGGTGGCTGTCATGGTCGACTGACCATGACTGCGCGCGCCACGTGGACGACCTGCCTCCCCCCCCCCCATACACAAACCAGGATTTCGCAAAAAGGGGGTTGAACGACGTGTACCTCACATGCGTGAGAGGGACGTGGTAGGTGCTGTTTCAGCCCGTCCTCAGCCCACCAGTCCGCCACTCCACACAACACACACACACACCCAACGGGACGAACTGAGTGGACCGAGTGGGGGCGTCAATCAGCAACCTTCCTATCCACGAGGCTTGACGTGCCGGGGTAGTCTCAGACTGAAGTAGCCCTTGCAGCCGAAGCCGCATGGGGACCGACTCGAGAGGCACACTTCCCACTTGCGTGGTAGGTGGCAGTTGGGTGCATCCGGTGGGTGAGTGTTGATACGTGGTGGTGATTGTGGAGGAGGGTAGGGGTTGTGTGGATGTGTGGTGTAACCGGCGGATGTCTACCTCAGGTCATCGTGGATGCGCAATTGGCCGAATAGGCCCATGCGATGCCTGAAGGTGCGAAGGCAGTGTTGGCAGTGGAGGCGAGCTTGGTGGGTATAGGTTGGTGCTCCAGGCACTGGTTCGCCAGTCCCCGTGCGAAGAATTCGCAACTGACCGACCAGGCCAATGCGAGAGGTGAATGTGCGTGGACAGTGTGGGCAGGTGAAGTTGGTGGTGTCGATGTCAGTTGTTAAAACGGCGATAAGCGCAAAGGGTGTTGAAGTGGGGATGGGGTTTGGCGTAGTGGGTGAGTCGGGAGGGCGATCGCGGGCGCTGACGTGTGGACTGACCATCGCCTTGTCATATCGAAGATGCGTATTCGTCTACAGCCTCGCAGGAGACCACAAGGTAAGCGACCCCCAGGTAAGCTGAATATTGCCTTGTCGTCTTTGCCCGCTCACCATCTCCATTTTAGCAATGAGCTAGCTCAACGGCTAGACAACCTTCCTATCGCTGCCGCCGACGACGCCGCCGCCGCCGCAGCCGAGAACGCCTCCGTGGAGAACCGCTGGTGTCAACTGCGAGACACACGGTCCAGTCGACGGCGCACGCCGTCCTCGGTCGCGCTCCCCGCCAACACCAGGACTGGCTCGACGACAACGACGCCGCCATCAGAAATCTACTTGCTGGGAAGAACCGCCTACACAAAGCCTACGTAGATCACCCTACTGATGCCACCAAAACTGCCTTATTCCGCAGATCCAAGGCTACGCGGACCGCGACGAGTGGAAGAACATCTTCTCCGCCATCATAGCTGTCTACGGTCCGCCGAAGAAGGGCACTGCTCCTCTCCTCAGCGCCGACGGCAACATTCTCCTGACTGAGAAGACACAAATTCTACAGCGATGGGCCGAGCATTTCCGAGGCGTCCTCAACCGCTCCTCCGTCATCTCCGACGCCGCCATCGACCGTTTGCCGTAAGTGGAGACCAACGCGGACCTCGACCGCCCGCCATCTCTCCAGGAAACCATCAGGGTCGTGCAGCAGCTCTCCGGTGAGAAAGCACCCGGATCGGACGCAATACTTGCTGAGGTGTACAAGCACGGAAGTCCCCAACTCATGGATCACCTGACTGCGCTCTTCCAGGAGATGTGGCGTCAAGGTGAAGTGCCGCAAGATTTCAAAGACGCAACCATCGTGCATCTCTACAAGCGAAAAGGGAATCCCCAAGTCTGCGACAATCACCGTGGCATCTCCTTGCTGAACATCGCCGGGAAGATCTTTGCTCGCATCCTGCTCAACCGCCTCAACAACCACCTGGAACAGGGCCTTCTGCCGGAAAGCCAATGCGGCTTTCGTCGTCATCGCGGGACCACGGATATGATCTTCGCCGCCCGTCAACTTCAGGAGAAGTGCCAGGAGATGCGGACCCACCTGTACTCTAACTTCGCGGACCTGACGAAGGCCTTCGATACGGTGAATCGTGAAGGACTGTGGGAGATCATGCAGAAATTCGGCTGCCCGGAGCGATTCACTCAAATGGTGCGTCAGCTGCACGACGGTATGATGGAGCGAGTCACGGACAACGGAGCTGTCATGGAGGCATTCACAGTGACCAGCCGAGTGAAGCAGGGATGCGTGCTGGCGCCTACCCTCTTCAGTCTCATGTTCTCTGCCATGCTGATGGACGCCTACCGCTACGAACGCCCCGGGATCCGCATCGCCTACAGGACGGACGGTCACCTGCTGAATCAACGGCGGATGCACTTCCAATCGCGCGTATCCACAACCACCGTTCACGAATTTCTCTTCGCCGATAACTGCGCCCTGAACACCACCTCGGAAGAGGAGATGCAACGGAGCATGGACCTCTTCTCTGCCGTCTGCGAGAACTTCGGTCTGGTCATTAACACGCAAAAGACGATGGTCATGCATCAACCGCCACCCCACTCAGTCACAGCCCCCAACGCGCCGCCGCAAATCAGCGTGAACGGAACCCAACTGTAAGCGGTGGAGAACTTCCCGTACCTGGGCAGCACCCTCTCCCTTAATACCAAAATCGATGACGAAGTCGCTCGCAGGATCTCGAAAGCCAGTCAAGCCTTCGGTCGCCTCCAAAGCACAGTTTGGAATCGTCACGGCCTTCAACTGAGCACGAAGCTGAAGATGTACAAGGCCGTCATCCTGCAGACGCTACTGTACGGAGCGGAGACATGGACAGTGTACACAAAGTAGGCACGCCGACTGAACCACTTCCACCTCAGTTGTCTTCGTCGCATCCTGAGGCTGAACTGGCAGGATCGAATCCTCGACACTGATGTGCTGGAACGGACGGGATTCCTCAGCATCTACATCATGCTGAGACAAATGCAGCTGCGCTGGAGCGGCCATCTGGTGCGCATGGATGACGAGCGACTACCCAAACGACTCTTCTACGGAGACGTCGCCACGGGCTCTCGCCGCCAAGGAGGCCAAATTCGTCGATACAAGGATACTCTGAAGTCCTCCCTGAAGCATCTGCAAATTAACCCGATCAACTGGGAAGAGCTCGCCCTCGAACGACCGACCGACCTGGAGGAGGACAGTGAAGACAAGCGCTGCGATCCATGAGGCCAACCGAATCGCTGCTGCCAAAGTGAAACGGGAAGCACGCAAATCACAGCTACGCCCAGTCCGCAGTGCCGACGCACAACCGCTTCCAACGTGTCCTCGGTGTCAACGGACATTCCGGGCACAAATTGGACTCATTGAACACCTTCGGACCAACTTCACCTTCCGTACCGCACCAACCGCCGTCCCTCCTCCCGCCTCTTTCTCGTCGTCTCCGCCGCCAACTAACTCTGACAATTCTTCTGAACCACCACCTCCTCCGCCCTCCTCCTCCTCTCCCTACTCCTCATTCTCGGCTCCTCCTCCTCTTGCCCCACTGAACCAACCACAGCCGCTCTGGTGGCCATCACTCACACCAACATCCCACACATCCATGACACAACAACAGACACCATCCCTTCAACCTCCGACTCCAGGGGTGATAACCAGGTCTACACCTGCCCTTACTGCGACCGCACCTTCACCTCACACATCGGCCTGGTCGTTCACTTGCGAATCCATCGCACAGAGACTGGCGAACCAGTGCCAGGAGCACCAACCTACACCCACCGCATTCGCCTCCACTGCCCTCGCACCTTCACGCATCGCATGGGCCTATTCGGCCACATGCACATCCACGAGAGCGGAATTGACCGCCCTCCTGACTTAGGCTATTTAAAAGAAAGATGTCTGACAGACTCTCAGATCTGCAAGGTCCAGGAGGGGTTCGTGAGGAAAAAGCCCGTATATCCATCCTTGTCTTCTGAAAGCGCAGTTTCAATTGGTGTTTCTGGTTGGTCGGAATAAACGTGTCTGTATCGGAGATGATATCTCAGACTGAGTGAACGTGACTAGTGATATGCCTCAAGGCTCAGTTCCGGGGCCCTTGCCCTTCATACTTATGTTAATTACAGCCTTCAGGAGCTCGACTGCGGTAAAATAATGTTTGTCGATGACGTTAAGCTCTGGCAAGTCATTAAAACCGGAAAAACCATCAAAACCATCCGCAAAGACTGCAAGCATGGTCCAAGAAATGGCTTCTAGATTTCAATGTGCAGAAGTGTGCCGTCCTTTATCTGCGTCCAGCCAACTGTCATTTAAATGACGGCCCGAGGACATATCACCTGAAAGATATTAGACTCCCTCAGAATCTTCACAGAAGAATCTCGGTGTTTGGATACAGAGCGACATGAAACCAGCACTGCAGTGCAATAAGGCTACAAAAAACGCCTTCGGAGTGCCGTATGACATCAAAAGGACATTCGTAACCTTTGACAAAGATCTTTTAGGGAGAGTTTACAGCACCTTTGTTCGGTCCCATCTAGAATATGGCATTCAAGCGTGGCAGCCATAGCTAGCAGAGGACTAAACATGCCTCGAAAGAGTATAAAGTCGTGCAAAAAAGCTGATAAACGGTATTAAAAGCCAACTGCCTTAATTTCATCCCTATGTGTCACGGGCAGCAAAGAGGTCATCTTATACCCGTTAACAAGATAATATATAGCCTTGAGCATGAACTTAGCCTTGAGGACATGCTTTATTGGCGCATTTCCCCCAGTCTTCGTGGTCACAGGATGCAGCTACGGACAAAAAATATCCAGCCTGAATCTTCGTTCTGAATTCTTCACACAGAGTAGTGGAGAAATGGAAAGGTCTCCCTTAATCAGTCGTGGAGGCGAAGCCCGGCAACTCTTCAAGAAACGCTGGGATGATTATTTGTGTTTCAGAAAAATAATTTCTGGGTGTCCCAGGGTATTTAGTTTGGGCTCAGACTGTCGAGGTAAAACAGAGAACACAAAACTTCCAACTTCCAAATTCCTCCGATATACCCCTCCGGACGACAAATTAGTCTTTATTGATCGATAACTCTATGTTAACCCCTTAAGGATAGATAGCTTTTAGTTCTTTAAAAACCGTTGAGAGTTGCCACTCGGGAACGAACCAAAAAAGGAGCCTAATAAATGCGAAAAAGTATTTGCATTTTACTATTCTGAAATCCGTGCGGAAATCTCGAAAAAGTTACCACATTGCCACTTTGGGGTCTGGTATTTCGGGTTAGTGTCCCTAACAAGAATGTAAAAAGCTCTGGTTTTACTCTGACAGTGGCAGGCGTATCTCTAGGCCCCACACTACCTTAAATTGCAGTTCAACTCCTTATTTTTTTTAGTTTTTCTGCCGATTGAAAGCTGAGACCCGTTCATACCTAGACAGAAATATTTCGCTTCATACAACAAAAACTACAGCCAACGCTTTCGTCTTTACTTAAACGGTTGTATCTTAGATTAGGCAGTTTTTACTCTGTAAGGGTACTTAGCAGCCCGGAAAACGCCAAGTTCGTGAGTCGAATTTTTCCCAGCCTTAATCCCACGCCACTTTCAAGTGGTTAACCATGGTCCTGCAATTCTGATTTGTTCACAGCACATTCCTGCTTAAGCGATGGCTCGAAGCAACCTTCAGGAGACATTACACTTAAGACATGCACGGCGGACGGTCTATCCGTTGCTCACCTGTCTGTCTGTCAGTCAAGGACAATCATCCCCAGAACAGAACCCTCCAACCCACAAGATGCCTTGTTCCCCTTCAAGTACACTCGTTTCGCCCATTCAATGTCCATGTTTAAAGGACCCGGCAGTCCTAAGTTCTATTACGAAACTGCACGACGTCTCTGCGGTTTGTCTGCACATTGCGTGCTCGCGATGGCGCGCGTAGCCGTTGCGTGCGTGCGCCCATACAGCTTTGGATGTCGCATATGCTAGTCATTCTAGAAAGTCCATATGCAGGTCATGCCTTCGAGGCGGTCATAGGAGTCTCCGATAATATAACCAGTAATTTACTGGCAATCAAATGGCAATACGAACTAAAAATTTGCTAGTACGGTGTTTACCTATACTGGTGAACAAAATGGAACTGTGGGACTTAGTGTTCTCTGAGCGCTTTTTGTTGAGCTTATCAATAAGCAACAGGACTCGAGTTTACCAAAATTAACAGCCACCGTCGAAAAGCAGCACCATTCTCTTCGAATAGTCGAAGGTCGACCCCAAAATAATAATGTCAACAGGCATCCACAAAATGCAGAAAGCAGTCCGACAGTCTGCAGAAACTACCAAGTACCCCTCTTATTCCTTCAACACATTTTCACCCGCTACCGATATTTTTACGCCAACTCCATGTAGAACTGTTCACCTGTGACAGGTGCTAGCAGTCCGGTATTTCTGACCCATAAAGACTGGTTCCGTTGCATATTTGCAAATTTATGTTGCCTTAGAGATGAAACTGCGGAATTTGAGCGATTTCTGGCAACTAAAGATTAGCAATAATATATACATCTGCAGATATGCTAGACTCAGGATTAACCGTCGATGCTTATTGCGCTTTCAGGAAAGGCAGGCAAGGTGATCTTCTGGCAGAGGTTGTATCGTCCACGTTAGTTCGAATTTAAATCCCACCCCTGCATTCCTTGGATTCCTCCCAATGCATAAGTATGGCAGGTCTCAAGATTATTGCGGCAAATGGCCCAGTCATGTTTGCACCCGTGTAACTTAAACTGGGCGCACAAGGTGCATTAGAGTATAACCCCTTTACTCGCTGCCATCTCGTGGGCTTTAACGCCGCGCTGGCCAGCTTATCCATTCAAACCATTATTGTAAGTTACAACGCCTGCTAGGGTTTTCTCACAAAAACTGTTTAAATAAGATACCAGACGTTCCTACATGTGGTCGTTCAGGCCAGCCCAAACGTTATGTTCATGCCTGTTGACAGGAAGATAGTTATTGCTGCCGTAGATACTCCTTCAGGTAACTAACCATGTTGCCATAACCTGCACCAATAAGGTCAGTTCTGATAGGCCTTCTTAGCATTCCAAGTCCATGAATTTGTTTCATCACATAAACATTTCAGCTCATAGCAATATGGTATTCCGCTTACACCAACAAGCTTTGGACCCGTAAGAAATGTCGGATATGAAACCTTCGTATATTCCCATCAAGCAGAACATAGCCGTCACGGATTCTCACAAAAGAGTTGAAGGATCTACGTGAATCTCTCCACTAAGTATCTGAAAAATTCAGCGGCCTACTGCTAGGGGAAAAAAGCCCAATCGCCAATGTCGAGGAGGAAAGTCGTCTGGTAACTGAGCCATTCAACAAATTGGTTCAGCCTCTGATCTAAAAATTACTACTCCTGCCGGCCTAGTATCATCGAAACAGGCCACTGTCAAGGCTCAAATGTAGGAGATCACACCGTTTCACAGAGCGAAATCGGATGTCACCTCGTATATTGTAGGGTTTTGGAAAAGGACCGAAACTAGGCTCTTACTGCTCGTGCTGGAGCAGAGGCGGCGGCATGCAGACACTGAAAAAACATATGGCATAGTTAATGAAATTGTCGTTGTTTTCACTACGAAGTCCTTTGGGGTCATCAGGGAAAGCTGTTTAAGTCTCGAGTTAATAAACGAGTTAGCAAATAAGTGTTTCCTAGTTCGTTTTAAAGTCCCAGAATGGCTTTCAGAAGATGTCGCCCTAGCTTCAACGTTTATATTATAATAAAACACCTTGGCGCCCTAGGACGGTCAAGGCAACCCACAGTAGTATAGGCCAGCGTGTTTATGAAATGTGGGTTGTCACCCATCACAACACAAACGCATACTAACTGCCCAATTTCCAAATGTGCTTGATAATCAGTGACAGAAAACCAGGACCTGAGAGTGAGCTTGGTATGACCTGATCCTTCAGCTTGAATTGTAGGTTTAAGCTTGGACTGTAGTCCTTGTGTCATGTATGCAGTTCTCCAACAAACATTGAGCCTCCGTTGTTGAAGCAGACTTTGTACTCGACTTCCTTATTTTCGTTGAATGATCGTGACCAAGTTTTACTACTGCACACGCAGCATAATACTGTTTCTTATTGTGCATGGGCCAAACCCACGAAGAGATATCGTCACCTCCGAGAATGGCTTGCCTGACCTTCATGTCTACTCTAGGTGTCTGTTCTTACTAAAGGGTTTATTGGGATCGGGTCTTTCGA